AATACCGTCATTGCATTACTTCTGTCACTGGACCCCTTGTTTACGCTTTGAGTCTATTTTTTCCTTTGATGCATTTGAAGTATAATCACCACAGACAGCTGCTTAAATCAGGTAGATCCTAGATCCTTAGCCTATTTATGTGTTGGAAACTTAAATGAATAAATCCATACATCTATACACTGCTTATGTTTTGCTGATGAGCCTACATGAAAATTATTACTGTTTGGTACATTTCTGCTGTCGGTCAGCCTGTGAAAGACCAGGCTGCCCTCCTGCTGACAGTCAGCTTCTGACAAGGGACACTGCATGGAGGCCAGACTCTGTGTGGACTGAACAGATCAAACACTTAAGCTATGCATATCCACCACTCATGTCTAGTGAAGTCCCAGTTTGAAGTTAGTACTGGCTAAAACCGACAATCAAGTCCTCCTTTCAGCAGCAGGCTACTACAACTTCAAATCAGAAAAAGCTGGGACGATAGGTAAAATCAAAATTGAAACTGAAAATACTGAACTGGAAATCATCCGTGTCTTGTATTACACTGAAAACAGTCTCGGACGCATCTGGGACAGACCATTACTCAGTGGAAACATGTATTGTGGTCAGAAAAATCAGTATATCAAGTCATTTTTAGAAGGAATGGACACCATGTGCTCTGGACCAAAGACGAAAAGGACTATCTGCACTGTTATCAGCAACAAGTCCAAAACCCAGGGTCTGCCATGGTATGGGGTTGTGTCAGTCCCCTTGGTAAAGGTAACTTGCACTTCTGTGAGGGACCCATTAGTTTTGAAAAATACATGCATTTCAATAAGATAATGCAAAACCTCATACCTTGACAAAAAAAAAAAAAAAAGAGGAAAAAACCTTTTTAATGTCAAAGTGAAAACAGCTTTCTACAAAGTAATGTCAATTAAATAAAAATATGTAACAAGAAATAAGTGACTGCATAAATATTCACCCCCTTCAAGTCAGTATTTAGTAGATGCACCTTTGGCTGCAATCACAGCACTGAGTCTGTGTGTACAGGTCTCAGTCAGGTTTGCACATCTGGATACTGCAACTTTACTCCATTCTTCTTTCCAAAACTGTTCAAGCTCTGCCAGGGTGTGTGGGGATCAAATGTGAACAGCCCTTTTCAAGTCCAGCCACAAAGTCAAATTAATATTTGAGTCAACTGACTAGGACATTTGCATTCTCACAGACAGCTCCTCTGGGTAAGGTCTAGATAATTTCAGGGTTCCATTGCATGTCTGAAAAGGGCTAGTGAGTATGTCTATCTTTGCAGCAAAACTTTCTCAAAATCCCTCTGGTCTGTATCAACATGTCATGCTGATCTCTGTGGTTTTGTTTAATTTCGCCTTGAATGATTGTTGAACCCTGCGATGGATTGGCGACCTGTCCAGGAGCTGCCGATACAGTTTTACAGAAGAATCAAGTCTGTTCTCTGCACCTTCATCACTGTCTGGTTTGGCTCAGCAACCAAACAGAACAAGTACAGACTTCAGCGGACAGTCAGGACTGCAGAAAAGGTCATTGGTCCAAGCCTGCCCTCCATGGAGGACCTGTACATCTCACAGGTCAAAAGGAGGGCAAAAAAGATTTCTGTAGACCCCACACACCCTGGACACAGTTTGAACTCCTCCCCTCTGGACGGCGCTACAGGTCACTGTGCGCCAAGACAACCAGGCACAAGGACAGTTTCTTCCCTCAGGCTGTCACTCTGATGAACACTTAGCCCACAACAGTATGACTGGACAACAACCCTCAGTGCAAGTACATGTAGGTGTACATTGTACATATAGATCTGTTGAATCCAGACTGTCTGTGTGTGTATACAGACAACTCTGCTTTGGCTTCTGGTACATTCTGAGAAAAAAATATGACATCAATGTGGTTTCCCAGGATTGTTGCTTGTTTATGCCTAGAGAGGCAACATGTACTAAATGCTAAGTTCTGGCACACACCAAGGTAACCTTACCTTATAAAGGACAACAGAGATACATTGCGTCCTCTAAGCGACAGTGTTAGCCTTAATCTTCTTATCGAGCTCTCAGACAAAGCAAATCCAAGTGTTTCCCAAAATACCAGACTATTCCTTGAACTTTTCCCAGTTTCTGAGCAGTTTTCTCTCTTATAAAGGCATGGAACAAATCACGCTTTGCATACAATTCCAGACATATCCAGAGCTGTTTAAAATGAAATCAAGGGCAAAAAGCCTCATTCACTGCCATAACAGGAACCAAATAAAATGAGGCCAAGGGTCAGATATTACAGTGATGATACTCTGACAGTACTCCTAACGTGGAATGATCATAGTGTAAAGAAAAACTTAAAAGGGCAGCTAAGTTAGAAAACACTGGACAAGAACAAAATCAACCTGAAATTTGACAAAATGATTCTACATTTCATTCAAAAAGAAAACAGGTTTAACCTGACAATCTGTAGTCACTGAATACAGGTTATCTTTACTATAGAAGGAAGGCATGTAAAAGAGACTTTTCCTCTTGTGAAAATTAAAATGTTCAATCATCATCTACAGCAACTAGAGGTATATATTATACACATCTCTCCCTCTCACACAATTTCTTAGATGGTCCATGATTAAATGCAAAAACAACACAGCTACATTTGTAACGCTACAGTATGACTTCCTTAAACTATCAATTAATCCTATAAAGCCATTTGTATCATATTTGATACACAAGTTTCTGAGCAAAAAATGCTCCATGTATCAAATGTTATATAAAAAAATAAAAAATAATCTAAATAATATGGCACTTCTATTCCTATAGGCCTGGACTGTCTTGTCTATGCATAAAAGGCAAATAAAAATCTTGAATCTTGAATTTTCTTTTGGATTTTGTTAAAAGGTTTAATAAACATCTCAGTTCCAAAAAACTAGGATGTTCTGGTTATTTTTTAATGTGTCAGGCTTTACAGGGTTAATACCTTATTTTCTTAGTAAAAAAAAGTCTTGACAACGAAAGTTTGTGAGAGGTATATAAACCGAGTTTCTTCTGCATAGAAGTACTAGAACATATGTACACCTCATTTTTTGAGCTTTAGGTCACATCTATGATGATAATTCACCATTGTAGCATTGTAGATACGCAAGTCAGAAAACAAGAAAACACATTCATTGGCTCTTTTAGAAGGAGGCAAGCGTTTCAACACAGGCAGGAGATGGTGTGCGCGCGCCTGTCCTGCACCTGTTCCGTTTTCTGAGAGCAGTTTTGCTGGTGCCATAGGAGCACAGCTGGGTATCTGGGCCCTGTGTGATGTAACACCCCAGGGAGTTGAGTATCACCTTGTTTTCTGATCTGGGCCAACCCATTTAGAATGGGACACACTTTCACTCCCATTATTAGAGCAGTTATACAGTGGTAGAAAGATAGTGATGTGCAGACACAATGAAATTTTCAAAATGACAGTGAATTCAGTAATGGTGTAAGCTTCCTGGAGCCACTGTTTTTGTTGAGACAAATCTGCTACTATGCAAGATTTTTAACTGCCAAATAACCCGTGTTTGTTTTCTGGTGTGTTCATCCCTCCATCCATCCATTTTCCTCCGCTTATCCGGGACCGGGTCGCAGGGGCAGCAGTCTAAGCAAAGATGCCCAGACTTCCCTCCCTCCAGACACTTCCTCCAGCTCCTCCGGGGGAATGCTGAGGCGTTCCCAGGCCAGCCGAGAGACATAGTCCCTCCAGCGTGTCCTGGGTCTTCCCCGGGGCCTCCTCCCGGTGGGACATGCCCGGAACACCTCCCTAGGGAGGCGCCCAGGAGGCATCCGAAACAGATGCCCGAGCCACCTCAGCTGGCTCCTCTCGATGTGGAGGAGCAGCGGTTCTACTCTGAGCTCGAACGTAGATTGACCAGTAAATCGAGAGCTTCGCCTTACAGCTCAGCTCCTTCTTCACCACGACGGACTGGTACATCGACTGCATTGCTGCAGAAGCTGCACCGATCCGCCTGTCAATCTCCCGTTCCATCCTTCCCTCACTCGTGAACAAGACCCCAAGATACTTGAACTCCTCCACTTGAGGCAGGAACTCTCCACCGACCTGAAGGGAACAAGCCACCCTTTTCCGACTGAGAACCATGGCCTCGGATTTGGAGGTGCTGATTCTCATCCCAGCTGCTTCACACTCGGCTGCAAACCGCCCCAGTGCACGCCCGTACTCCCGGAGCACCCTCCACAGGGCGCTGCGAGGGACACGGTCGAATGCCTTCTCCAGATCCACGAAACACATGTGGACTGCTTGGGCAAACTCCCATGAACCCTGGTGTGTTCAGGCTTTTAAAAAAGGGTCAAATGAGTTGTAAAAGAAAATACTGACCTTTGATGGCTGACTCCACCCTCTCAAACTCCAGAAATATCCTGACAGCCTCATCATCCAGCACATCCGCAATCTGAGAAGTAAAGTGTTTTTGTGACTGACCTATTTGATCACTTTTACTTAATCTAATCAAGCAGAGTTATTCACATCTCTCACCTCAAAAATGACACATTTAACCACTTTGCCATATTTCTCGCACTCTTCTTTAGTCTCTCCCTCCAGATCTTCATCCACCTCGCCTCGGCCCACCATATTCTGCAAAACAAACAAATATACATCACACCCACTTGCCTCTGACTATAGAAGATAATGAAATGTGGTGCCTCACATACATATAAGATAAGGTTTTATCATTTGTCATTTTGTAATATAATAAAGCAAATTTAAGAGTACTGTAAATAGGGTAGTGCGATACATGCTATCTAGGGTAATATCTTAAATGTTGTTTTAACTATATGTGAGCTGACATGTATGTCAATCACTTTGCAAAAAACTATCAAAAACATCACCAGCCTTGTGGTCTATGCTGTCAGTGCTGCATGCAGGATTATACGCACACACACACAGTGGGTACGGAAAGTATTCAGACCCCCTTAAAATTTTCACTCTTTGTTATATTGCAGCCAGTTCATTTTTTTTTCCTCAATGTACACACAGCACCTCATATTGACAGAAAAACACAGAATTTGACATTTTTGCAGATTTAAGGGGGTCTGAATACTTTCCATACCCACTGTATATATACTGTATGTACGTACAGTGGCAAGAAAAAGTATGTTAACCTTTTAGAAATTTCATGGTTTTCATAATAATAATAATCACCTTTATTTGGCCTGCGACTCCGTTTGGGACTAAGTGGTATAGAAAATGAGATGAGACCTTTATTTGGTATGTTACACACAAGGAATTTGTTTCTGGTACAGAACCGAGGCAGCCATCTGCAGCGCCAACTCACACCGATGGCTTTAACCATCAGGGGCAACTTGGGGGTTCAGTGTCTTGCCCAAGGACACTTCGACATGCGGACTGCCGGCACCGTGATTCGAACTGCCAACCCTCCGGTTTTCACATTTAAACATTTTTCACATTATTATGACACACTATATTTTCTTTGACATATTTTGTCATTATAACAACATAGCCTGCTGTATTTTCTCATTATAATATGCTCTTCAGGCCATAAATTTGAAATAATATTTTTCTATATAAGCTATATGTTGATCAGGCCACCAGACACAGTGGCATAGACCTTGAGCAAAATCATTTTTAAAAATGTACGCACAGTGCATACAGGATTACGGCTGCAGGTGCTATACACCAACTGCTAGACTTGGATCATGCAACTTGCGTGGAGGTATTTTGGCTTGGACAACGTTGGATGTTGCTCAGAAGAGGACAATCTACAAGCTGTCAGAAATTGGTTGCCATTAAAAGACAACTCGACAGCTCATTTCACCATATTTAATCTAACTGCTGAACAGAATTATGAAGAATATGGAAAGCTTCAGGAGACAGCTGCTTATGACAGGACTAAACTAGTCATGGTACCTACACAAAAACACACTTTAGAGATCATATCTACATATAGTTTTTTTGTCAATATTGCACACCCACTAACTGTAAATAAGAGTAGTTTCTTACTTCAAAATGATTTCTAAAATTGGATCACTCTTTATTATGATTTGTATATTTTACCATTATTTCTGAATTAATATGTTAAATGTGTAGCATGTGTTCTGAAATATTTGTAAAATACACAGACATACCCTCAGTAGGACCACTTTGGTTGGGTTTTTGAGGATCTCGGTGAGTGGATTTGCCTCTGTCTTCTTAGGGGGGTCAGCTGGTTAGATGGAAACAGACACAAAAGGTAATGCGTTTGTTTTTCTTCTCACATGAATATTCACAGGCCGCTGGTGAGCTAGATGGAGCAACTCAAGCTGTGTAACAATAGGTTTTATCAAACTGTATCATTCAAGACAAGGAGCCGTGTGGCAAACATTTTGTTCTGTTGATCATTCCTGTTGTGTTGTTGTTGAGCCAATGTGATATCTACCTTTCCTGTTGGTCGCAAGTGTTAGTATTCCCCAATGTTTAACTAATAGAGAGGTAAATGTCATTCTCAAGAAAACACTGAAACATACACTACACATGCAGAGCCGAAGTTATTTTTCAAGCAAAAATACCACATGTTGTCTGAGTAATTAATCAGTTACAGCGGTAGACAGCAGGATGCTCATTTGGCAGTTTATTGATAGGTTATACTGAGTGTCAGCCCCATTTATATCTATGAGGCTAGACAGTACATGGAAGATTTGCTGCAGGACTGTTAAATTAGTCTGACTTAGTTTTAGCTAGGGATACCTAATAAACTACCAGCAGTCCACAAACCAGCGATCAGGGAGCACTTGGTGTACTGGTCTCCGGGAGCACAATATCTAAAAATGACTATTTTCTAAACTCTCCCTCTGTGCAATTCATTATATTGATAAAAGGGCTGAACTCATACAATCTCAACAGTTTGTCTGAAAATTAAGCAGTGACGAGTCTGACATCCAACCATCTAGTGGCCAAAACCAATCATTGCATCCAGAAAGTGCAGAACTGAACTATGTATTTTACAAAATGTCAAACTATTCCTTTAAGCCATAATTACATGTGTACTGTGAATGTAGCTTTAATTTCTTTATGGGTTAGGGGAATAGGTTAGAAGAATCAGAAAACAATGCAAAGTGCATACTTCAAATGTGTGATAGATGCAGGCAAGTGTGAACCAGAAGCAGAGTGGTTAAAAAGGGGAAAATAAGGGAGATTTGCAGCTCAGTTTAGGCTGACAAAAATCCATATGCAATAGGACACACCTTTTTATGTGGTAAACAAAAATGACATTCAAAACAGACCAAAATGAAAACTAAATGCAGTCTGTAGCAATACATTACTGACACACATATAGCAGAAAACTATTCTATGCATTGCTATGTCATTTCTTCATTGTTAGCAACACATATGAACAAAACACATGTAAACAACACACACATCTAAAATAAAAACAAATGGGAAGCACATTCTGTGTATGGGAAAGAAAAAAAGGAGAGTGGAGACCAACCTGTAGAGCCTCCGCCTGAAGTCTCAGCAGCACCTGACTGGCTGGACCCTGCTGCTCAGTCACACACAGAAACACACACACACAAAAATGAAAAGGCACACAAAAGTGCACACAAAGTGAAGCAAATCATCTGATGCTGAAAATAGACTACTGCCCTGTCACCGACAAATATTGAGCAAAAATACACATGAAATTATGAGAATTTTGTCAGTCGATTAAATTCCTATATTCTATTCATTTGTGTAGTAAATGTAGTTTTCATGCAGCTGACAGGAAAAAAAATGTAAAGAAAGCAAGCAAAATGAAAAGGTAAAAAGTCTATTAAGATAAATAGAGTGCAGCATAAAGTGGCAAAAACATATGTTTGTGTTGTGATTTTATTGCTCAAAAAATGTGACCTGATCTTCATCTAACTCCACTCTGACTATAGACAAACACAATGTGCTAAAGATAATAACACACAAGCAATTCAAATTATTCATCTCGCTATTAAACATTCACAGTGCTGGTGGAAAAAATAAGTGACCTTGTAATCTTGTCCGAGTCAACAATTCTTGATCGTAGATCTTTTTTGTGAGGTGTGGTTCACATCAGCTGATGCTTCATGTGAATAGACTAAATGTTTAACTGTTTTTTTTTACAAATCAAAGTAGCTTGAGCCCACACCTCCAATCCGGTTTCACTGACTGTACACAAGGTTTGGTAAGTGGGGACTCCAGTTAGCTTTTGTTGATGGTATTAGTCAAGGGGTTCACATACTTTTCACCCTACACTGTGAATGTGAAAAAGTATTCTGTGTGGACAGTGTGTTAGTAGTTAACAGATTATGCTTGTTCATTGTTCAAACTTAGATGAACATTTATACACAAATGCAGGTTACTCCAAAGGATTCACTTAGGTTTTCTTGCCACTGTAGATAGTAGTGACCATGACAGAAGTCAGCAGCACACACACACGCACACACACACACACACACACACACACACACACACACACACACACACAAAATCTAACTGACAAGAGCATCCTTACGTTTTTCTGCAGCGTCACCTATAATAATCTTTCCACCTCTCTTGCTGGTCTTCTCCACAGACAGTGCAGTGCTGAGGCCCTGCTCATGCTTCCCCAGGCCCTGGCCTTCTTTGAAACCATACTTCTGCATGATCTTATGGGCCACAGTACCTCTATTGAAGTAGATGGACAAAAAAAGTTCTGGGTTGAAAAATATGAGATTTATTGTAATATTAAAGCTCTTTGTCACCACTATAATTTATGTCATGTACGACTTTTGTTTTGGAACCATATGCTGTCATCAGAAATCCCTAGAGCATAGATGGACATATATAATTGAAATTACATTGTTTAGCATGAAATTGGTAATGTGCTCCAGTAACTGTGTAAAACCATACATTTTCTACAGTTAAAGTAATGACCTAAAACAAACTGGATAGTAATGAAGTAATTCACTATATACAGTGCCTTGCGAAAGTATTCGGCCCCCTTGAACTTTGCGACCTTTTGCCACATTTCAGGCTTCAAACATAAAGATATAAAACTGTAATTTTTTGTGAAGAATCAACAACAAGTGGGACACAATCATGAAGTGGAACGAAATTTATTGGATATTTCAAACTTTTTTAACAAATAAAAAACTGAATAATTGGGCGTGCAAAATTATTCAGCCCCTTTACTTTCAGTGCAGCAAACTCTCTCCAGAAGTTCAGTGAGGATCTCTGAATGATCCAATGTTGACCTAAATGACTAATGATGATAAATAGAATCCACCTGTGTGTAATCAAGTCTCCGTATAAATGCACCTGCACTGTGATAGTCTCAGAGGTCCGTTTAAAGCGCAGAGAGCATCATGAAGAACAAGGAACACACCAGGCAGGTCCGAGATACTGTTGTGGAGAAGTTTAAAGCCGGATTTGGATACAAAAAGATTTCCCAAGCTTTAAACATCCCAAGGAGCACTGTGCAAGCGATAATATTGAAATGGAAGGAGTATCAGACCACTGCAAATCTACCAAGACCTGGCCGTCCCTCTAAACTTTCAGCTCATACAAGGAGAAGACTGATCAGAGATGCAGCCAAGAGGCCCATGATCACTCTGGATGAACTGCAGAGATCTACAGCTGAGGTGGGAGACTCTGTCCATAGGACAACAATCAGTCGTATACTGCACAAATCTGGCCTTTATGGAAGAGTGGCAAGAAGAAAGCCATTTCTTAAAGATATCCATAAAAAGTGTCGTTTAAAGTTTGCCACAAGCCACCTGGGAGACACACCACACATGTGGAAGAAGGTGCTCTGGTCAGATGAAACCAAAATCGAACTTTTTGGCAACAATGCAAAACGTTATGTTTGGCGTAAAAGCAACACAGCTCATCACCTTGAACACACCATCCCCACTGTCAAACATGGTGGTGGCATCATCATGGTTTGGGCCTGCTTTTCTTCAGCAGGGACAGGGAAGATGGTTAAAATTGATGGGGAGATGGATGGAGCCCAATACAGGACCATTCTGGAAGGAAACCTGATGGAGTCTGCAAAAGACCTGAGACTGGGGCGGAGATTTGTCTTCCAACAAGACACTGATCCAAAACATAAAGCAAAATCTACAATGGAATGGTTCAAAACTAAACATATCCAGGTGTTAGAATGGCCAAGTCAAAGTCCAGACCTCAATCCAATCGAGAATCTTTGGAAAGAACTGAAAACTGCTGTTCACAAATGCTCTCCATCCAACCTCACTGAGCTCGAGCTGTTTTGCAAGGAGGAATGGGCAAATATTTCAGTCTCTCGATGTGCAAAACTGATAGAGACATACCCCAAGTGACTTACAGCTGTAATCGCAGCAAAAGGTGGCGCTACAAAGTATTAACTTAAGGGGGCTGAATAATTTTGCACGGCCAATTTTTCAGTTTTTTATTTGTTAAAAAAGTTTGAAATATCCAATAAATTTCGTTCCACTTCATGATTGTGTCCCACTTGTTGTTGATTCTTCACAACAAATTACAGTTTTATATCTTTATGTTTGAAGCCTGAAATGTGGCAAAAGGTCGCAAAGTTCAAGGGGGCCGAATACTTTCGCAAGGCACTGTATGTGTGTGTGTGTGTGTGTGTGTGTGTGTCCACACACCCCATATTGGCCAAGAAGGAGCTGGTTGGTCCAGGTGGTGAACGTGGCCGGTCTGAGTCCTCATACAAGGGTGGAGGGATGGCAGCCTTTGAGCCTCTAGCAGGTCGACCTTCATCCTCATAGGAATATGAGGAGGAGCCTAAAACCACACACACAAAAAAGTAATATTGTACTACAGAGTATAACCAAATTTTCCAGGTAAAGTCCCAGTCATATTTCTTTATATTTACTTCAGTGTTTCCCACAGAATTACATTCTAATTGTGGCAGGAGCACTTTCATAAATATTTTTTTATATACTAATGCTATAGTGCTGTTAATCTGACCTGTCCTTTCTTTATGAGCTCTGCCACAGCAGCAGCCAACATGCTGCTGCCCTCCACCTACAACCCTCAATTCAGCCCTCTCTTCCTGACCCTCTTTTGCTGCTTCAGCAGCACTGGTTGAAACCAATGAATATCCTAAATGATTCATTTGGATTGTTATCAGCTTTCCCACATGTGTTTTTGGTATTCCCCTGGACTGATGGGGCAAACATTCAGCATCAAGAGTTTATGAACTAGTATCAACTGCAGAGCAGTCCATATAAATCCATACAGTGTACAAACCTCTGTAATAGAGAGAATTGTTGTAAGGCTGGATAAGTTACTATGTCTGCATTATGCCAGTTAAAATATGGGGTTTCTCAATTACCCACTTTGTTTAGAGTGTTACAAATCTCTTTTCATCAGTACATATACAGTTTACCCTTCTATGGAGGAGAAATTCAAATTAATTAATGCTGCTGTGGTTCGTTGTGCTGTGCACTTTCATATTCTTGCTTAAACAAGTCGGGTAACTGTGCATGCTACAGAACAAAAAACCTCCAAAGTTATAAGAAGACAAAAGTAGCTAAGACGTAAGGCATTAGCAGGAATAGATCTAGAGGGAAGTAGGGGTGCAGTTACATGTTAGCTGTTAGATTGTTAGCTGTATGTTAGCAAGCTACTCCCATTCTTCCTGCTAATACCCGACATTTATCCTCTTAAAAATTAGGCGGGGGTTTTTTTTTTTTTTTTTGTTTTTTGTTTTTGGCTCGGCACCTTTTAAAACAGCATCTATAGATTCTTTACCTTGTTGGCAGTGCATCCTACCAAGCAGCAGCTTTTTGACATTTTTCAGTTTTTTGTAAAAAGACAGAATTTTCAAAGACATACCATCACTCAATACAAAGTCAATTGAGCAAAACTTTTTCTCCTCTGCCCAGGGTAGGCATAGCCAAAATGCACTCTGACTCTATTGAAATCCATACTGTATGTCATTAGAGAGTCTAGTATTATGGATGCAGTTGGACTAAAAACGTCTCATGCGAGCCATCTGTGAGTCAGGTATGAAATGGTATTTAAGAATACCAATTTCTGAGCTTCTGTTGTATATTCTTAACTGTATTGCATTGTAATTTCAGGGTGCCATATTGTCTGCACTGTTTTCAGCTGTTCTTGTGGTTTTTCTTTTTTTGTATTTTATGCACATTGGAACACATCTATAATTTGGGGGGGGGGGACTACTGGACTGGGACTGCATTGCATTGCGTCTTAGTTAAATTTTCGACATTTTTCTTTCAATTTTATTTTAAGGGAAATAAAGACCCCACATAGAATGTGTATTTGGACTTGAGATTTATCCCCAGCTACATTTACAACTGACAAAATACCAGATTTCACCAGATTGTCAGACATACCATCTCTGTCCACGAGTGATGAAGGAGGAGCAATGGCTGCTCCACCCATACCTGAGGAAAAAGAGAGTAAGACAGTGAGTCAGGCAAGTGAACTTCAGCTCTTGTTAAGGCTGAAACATAATCACTGTATATATATATATATATGTGTGTGTGTGTGTGTGTGTGTGTGTGTGTACACATGCCGCTAACATAGCCTACTCTATCTTTTAGCACCAATTCTAACACCAGTGTATCTGCACTGATAAATAAAAACACCATTTAACATCCAGTGCCAACAAAAATGCATGGCATATCATTATGGTGCATTTGAGAGTGCACAGCAGTGAATGTTTATGCTAACAAGGTAAACAAAAGACTCTTCCTCCCATAGGTGTACAACTTAAGTGACATTCATTAAAAGATGATTAGTTAAAACATTTCAAAATGCACCTGTGTTGTTTTGCATTTTGTGACCTTCAGTCAAATAAAACACTATTTTGCCAGGCATATATTTAGTCACTAAAGATTTCTTAAAAATATTGTTAAAACATTGTCTCATCTCCTTCACATGAACCCAGTATTGTGTATTGTCTCATCTTGTGAACCAAGTGTATTGTCACACCCCTAGTGACCAGAATTCAGGCATAGCAAGACAGAAAAAAAAACTCCCACAAAACATGTGTGGGAAACACATAACCTGTGTTTGTAGGGGAAAACCTAAAAGTGCATATGTAACAAAAACTTGAAGTCAAATGGTTGGAGGTACTTACTTCTTTTCCTCCGCTCTTTTTCGTACTCCTCCTCCTCCTCATCCGAGTCGTCCTCTGTTGCTGGGAAACGAGAGAAACCACTCGGAGCTCCACCATCGAGTCGGTCTTTCCTTTTCCTGCAAGACACCAGATTAACACAGGAATCCTGTGGTTTCTTAAAAATTATTATTAAATTAGTAATAAAAATAGTTGGCAATGAATTTAGCTATCAGTTAGTTGGGTCTAGCCACATAGCTGTGTGAGACAGCTGGGTCAGTGACTGTGTGATTACATCAGTGAGGCATATCAAAACATTTGGAAAAATGGGGGAAGCAGTGGATAGTACTGATGTACTACTGCATGGTTACAGCAGAGAAAAGTGGATGACCAGTCATCTAAAGTTTGGGAGCACTTTATTTTACAATCAGAAAGAAGACTGTTGCCAACCATACGTAACATTACCTGGCATGGACTGGGAATATGACACCAATGCATTTGCACCTAAAGGAATTAGATGGAGTCACAGAAGAAGGAGAGCCTGGAGCTAAGTAAGTTGTTAATTTTAGCTAATGTAAGAAATTAGGAAATGAAAAATATCATGCACCTGATTTTAAGTAACAAGATTACATTGTTACGTATATTATAATGCTAATCATATACAGTGGAACATTAGATTGAGAGTAACCTGGAGTGTGTTGCAAGACGAGCAAAAAATTTTGATTCGATATACCATCGAGGTCTTGCAATACGAGTAGTATGTACGCTTTGTCTGCCAAGCATCACGTGACATATGTCACAACTGAGCCGATCGTTCTCGCGCTTCACTCGTATAGTCAATATCTGTACTGCAACAATGGCCCCAGCCACGATTCTTTTCGCACAAAGGTAAACTGCAGGTTAATTAGTTTTATTTTTAATTTATACTGTATTTTGTATTACTGTAATCATTTTTATATGGATAAGTGGGTGCGGAACGAATCATCTGAGTTTCTGATATTTCTTATGGAGAAATTCACTTTGATATACAAGTGCTTTGGATTACAAGCACATTGCTGGAACGAATTATACTTGCAATCCAAGGTTCCACTGTATTCAGGAACATAACGGTGGGTTGTGTAGTCTGCTAATAATGGGTGCTAAATGCATTTGTTTTTGTGCTGCATTCATGTAAACCTGAAACACAACTAAATTACAGTATATAGGTGTGTTCAAAAAGATTGATGACACATGCAAGCTAATGGGGATTGGGCAGAGTACACAGGCTAAGAGTAAATGTCTTGAGCAATGTCTAGGTATATTTATTTTATTAATTAATTCATTTATTTACTTTGTGTTTAACTTATTTTTAACAATCAATAGTAGTAGCCATGTCTGTACCGGCTCTTTACATTAGCATAGTATGTTTTAAGAAAATTTTGATTTAAATCATAAACATTTTAATGTTTTTGTTAACACTGTAAGGACCTAATGTGTACTTTATAAAAGCTCTATTTTTGAACAAATAATTTTTTTGTTTAATAATGCTCCGCATAGGAATACTGCAAAAGCGTTGCTTAAATGAATGCATTTTTATTATAATGTGGAAAATATATTTCTAAATGATTTTATACATCTAATTAATCATAGACATAAACAACAGATTAATTGATTATTAAAACAGTCATTAGTTGCAGCCCTAAACTAAACCTGAGAGCGCTTTTGTGAGTCCCAGATGCATCAACAGGAAAACACAGTGAGTTACTTGATTAATTTCATGTGAGTCTTTATGTGGAAGAATATATTATTTTCTGTTTTGTGATGTTTAATCACTATGCTGTTTTTATCACTGCTTGAGCAAATTAAACTTGTATAGCAGTACTTTTCTCTCTCCTCAATCTCCTTCTGCCGCTCCTGCTCCCTCTGCCGTTGTCGTTCCTCCCTGTGTCGCTTCACCACCTTCTCATAGTCATTGGGGAACATTGGATCGTACTCGTCTGCTAGCGGGATGAGCACATCGCTAGACGAAAAACCACTGGGTATCACATCCTGAAGCAGACACATTCACACATGACAAGTCCACAATATGAGAGGGAGATTGTATGCATTGCATTTTGAAAAGGACATTAAAATTTATTTAATGTATGGCACAGCTACATCACCACCCCACACTCCTCTATATCACATTATTACATGTTTATAATTTCAGTGTGCATATTTGGCCAAGCTCCAGCAAAACTCAAATGAACCTTTTAACATTCTAATCATTTTCTACACTTAGAAGAACTGGATTTCATAATGACCAGGTTCACTGCATTAGGCAAACCTTGAGTCCAGCAGCAGCATGTGGGGGAGTGTCTGTGATCTGTCGCTCATCACTGGAGCCTCCTCTCTTTAGATCAATGACAGGAGCTAAGACAGTGGTCTGCTTCATCCGCTGGGTCTACACAAATGCAAAACAAAATCACTGAATGTGTACACATTTGTGGCATTATTATGTTATTTAAAGTTGGAGTAAAGTGAAAATAAATGTTTTGTCACACTACAGGAAGATGTGTTACTAACCACCCAGACAAATTTCCAAAAAATTCTTAACTCAAAAATGATGAAATGGTCAAACTCAAAAGCAAAACGTTCAGCAACTACAGACCCTTCATGAAGGCTTCATTCTGAAACACAATGGCCTTCTCAAAACACTACAATCGTTGTTGGACTTTTTGCCGAGTATATGCACACACAGCTCCCATGTAGCATACATTCTCTCTTCACTACATTGTGTTCTTGTATTTTTCATTATGCTTCTTTCATTGGCTGTTTTAAAGTGCCTTAGATTTTGTGATTTAGATTGTGTCACCTACGTATCTACTTAATATTTCATTATATTGTGTGGCATTCATGCAGACGGCAAAGTAAGAATTTCATTGTACAGGGAAACACATTTCCTCACTGTGCATGACAATAAACACTTGACTTGATTTTTGTTTTCCAGCTTGTTTTATCCTTGTCTGTGCACCTTGACAGTGGGTGAAGTTGTGCCAAAACTTTCTACTGAAACAGTCTAACTCCACAATTCACCACTACATAGTTTTCATTCATTTAACATGTTTTCAGCAACTATTTTCTAACACTGACAACATATTAACAAACAAATCACTGATTTTGGTTTACCCAGAGTATAACTTGGATCACAAATGCAAATCGTGTGCAGCCAATGTGAAATTATGAACTTCTGTTAATTTTCTATTTACATTGGTATGTTTTATTCTGAAACCAAACCATACTGTAGCCCCAGATTGGTTCTGGTGAGGGTTCAAAATTAAAACTTGCTGAACATTTTAACCTAATGCAAAACATAATAACCCTAACCAGGCCCACCACTGCTCAATATTCCACCCTCCAAGTAAAAACATAAAGCCTGCTTATCAATATCATCATTTGTATATAACATTTTTGAAGGTAATTATTTCAAAAATAAAGCCACATAACATTCTATAATATTTTCTGGCCTACTGTAGATGTAAAAACCGCCTATTGTGACAAATGCTTTAAAATAACCATTTTGATTTATAGTTAACTATGATTTAATCATCACTGTTTCCTTCAAAAAGACGCTAAACCACTTACAAATTACTTTTGCAGAGCGCATCTGTCTTTGTAAAGGGTAAATCATAGCTGACCGCTGGCGGCGCTATGGTAGACCTTCTGCATCAGCGAAAGAAACGACGTCATTTCCCCGTCGCCATCTTACGTTTATAGCGAAGCTAATCCTATCATTCTAAAAGCTGACAAACTGTATCTTTTACCTGGACGGGACCGGATATTTTTGGTTCCGCATCGTTCGAACAGTTTGTGGGGGTTCGGGAAACACCTCCAGATTTTAGGTGAACGTTATGAAACGTTCGGCAGGTTTCAATTTCGAAAACTCACGGCGGCTCATCTGTCATGTATGAGAATCACAGAGCTGGTGCTAACCATAACCTAGCCTTCGCTCTAACTCCGACATGAAGGGTGGCGCTAGTGGAGACACTAACAGGACCTACCTTTGCCTGGGTCAAAGCTGCCTTCTTCACCTTCAGCTGGGACTGCAGCAGCTTGAAGTTTTTAGACCAGCCTTCGGTCTTGGTGTCGCTGGTAGCCACACCGAGGTCATCATACAGCGACATTGCGGCCCTTAAACGCTTCTGTTACCTACAAACACACAGTCACGAGCTTCGTTTGATTTAATCTAAACTAGCCTCGTAAGCATAATTTAGTTCTTCAATACCTGGATTAAAAAGTACAGTAGCTAATTCAGCAGCCGCCTAACTTAACTGCATTGGTGGTTTACTTCCCGTGTTGTAGCTGAATGATTTATTCAATAATAGATTAATTCTATACAGGCCAGAAGTAGCTAACCTTAACGTTAACCGCTAACTACGATATCTGAAACTAAAGCTAGCATGGGTACGTAGCTATCTAACTCTACTCCTAAACTAATTATATTAAACATTGTCATTTAAGATGAGTTCCAACCTACCGGTGCTAGAAATATGTGGAATTAACTAAACATAAATGGCTATAATATATAAAAAAAGGTTGAGCTGCACGTGACGGAAGAACGCAGCAGCAGAACAACAACAAACCTTAAAGCGACAGTCAAGGGTATTAATGCTCTTTCGCCATCTTGCGGCTGGATGACTCTGCCACCGTGTCACTACACCTTTACGGCTCCTACGACGTATGTTGCGACTTGTACTTTTAGGTTTGACTGTAGTTTTAGGTTTGAATGTAGTTTTGTTGTAGGACTATAAATGTGTCCTCTATCGACGAATAGTCGCACAGGACGTGACCCGCTATCATCCAACAACTACACTGCATTTCATAATATTTAAGAGGAGGGGCAGATGATGAAAGTGAAAGTGAGTAACAGAAGCGAAGCAGCAAAAGGCACCGAGAATGGTCTTTACCCATCAGTTTGTTTGGTTGATAAGTTGTAAGTCTCCATAGAGCTGTCAGATGGATTCGGCTTCAGTTTCATTCTCTGTCACCGTTATAATGGTCTGTCTGCTCGGAGCTGCGCACGGGTCCAACGGTGGTAGGTACAAAGTCAGTTTCTCACGAGATTGTGTTCAGAACTCACTTCAAATAATATACACTTTTAAGTCTTTACTGTGGTGGTTTGAGCCATATTGGAACATTGCAAAATAACTGCAAACCCTTTTTTTTTGTTGTTGTCGTTGTTTTTTTGTTACTATGGGTCAATAATACACAGTTAAATGTGCCAAGAATGGGAGGGCATTCATATGGAAGCTCAGTATACCAGATAAATGATGTTTACCCATTATTCGGCCCCAGAGAGGGGGGTGTCAGGCTATGCCATCATACAGTAAATCTTATGGAGACAGTAAAGGAAAAAGTTAACTATAAAATTGCATTTTCTGAAGAAAATGCGTATAGATGCTCAGTGCTGAAAAAGTCGCCCTGAAAATGCTGAACAGTTTGACACCTGAATGCTTTTGCTAGCTGAAAGTATGCTGAAGTTGGAATTTACCCATTTATTTGAATGGGGTAAGATTTTCAGAATAAAGCTAAATATTTTAAAAGTATGAAGTTTAGAAAAATTCTGAGGAGAAGCGTGAATGTCCTTGAGGAGCTTAACATTTTGATAGCTGAAATTATGCTGAAGTAGAATTTTCCCATTCATTTGAATGGGGCAAGATGCTGAATCAGCATCCATACAATAAACCATACATCATGTGTAGAAGTTCTTAAAATCCTTTAGTTTTTTCTTTGTTTCTATCTCAGGCTAATTGACAAGGGGGGGAAATCCAAGTGATACTAATTAAATTTTTGCCAGCTATATTTGAATCTCTGCATCAATATTGTGGTTTTGTAATATGATATTCTTTCTTTCAGACAAGAACAGTTCTCTTTGTCCAGAAATTCCCCAAAGAAACCAAACAGAAGATCCACCAAAGATTCCTCGGAAAGTTAACGAAATCTTTCGGTACACATGTATAGAAGGATACGTAAGGAAAGTAGGAACCTCAAATCTCATCAAATGCAAGCTATCTCAGGGGCGTCTACAGTGGTCCCAGTACAACCTTGAATGTATATGTAAGATTTATGTTTTTTATCTTTACATTTGAAAAGCTTACTCTTAAAATCCAAGCTAAATGTGCAGAAAATGTAGCTCCTTATATGAAACAACTCAGAGCATCATGGAGCCCCCCCAGTAGCCTAGGCACTATGAGGTCTTTAAGATACGATGGAGCCTTGTCATTAAGGGCTTTGTATATTAGGAGAAGGATTTTAAAATCTATTCTGGATTTTACAGGGACCCACTAGAAAGAAGCTAATACAGGGGAGATATGATCTCTCTTGCTAATTCTTGTCAGTACTCTGGCTGCAGCATTTTGGATTAACTGGAGACTTTTTTGGGAACTATTGGGACATCCTGATAGTAAAGAGTTACAGTAGTCCAGCCTGGAAGTAACAAATGCATGGGCCAGTTTTTCAGCATCACTTTGAGACAGGATGCTCCTGATTTTCGCAGTATTGCGCAGGTGAAAGAAGCCAGTTCTAGAGACTTGGCTTATGTGTGATTTAAAGGACATATCCTAATAAAAAAGACTCCAACGTTCCTCACAGTAGTACTGGAGGCAAGAGCTATGTCATCTAAAGCAAATATATGGTTAGACAGCAGATTTCTAAGGTTTTCAGGCCCAAGCACAATAACTTCAGAGTTTAGAATTAAGAAATTACAGGTCATCCAGGCCTTTATGTCTTTAACACATGCTTGAGGTTTCACCAACTGATCTGATTCATTTGGCTTCATAGATAAATACAAAAACTGAGTATCATCTGCATAGCAATGGAAATTTATGTTGTGCTTCCTGATAATATTGCCTAAAGGGAGCATGTATAAATTAAGAAATTACAGGTCATCCAGGCCTTTATGTCTTTAACACATGCTTGAGGTTTCACCAACTGATCTGATTCATTTGGCTTCATAGATCAATATATCATCTGCATAGCAATGGAAACTTAAGCCGTGCTTCCTGATAATATTGCCTAAAGGGAGCACATATAAAGTGAAGAGAATTTGACCTAACATGGTTTGATATCACTTTATTCAATCTGAATCCAGTATCAAATCTTAAATGCTGTTCTAAGCCCTGACGTTTAATAAAATTAACCAAATTATAGTCAGGAAGGTCCAGTGGGAGAATTGCTGTCT